TCATGACACGTGGTCGGGCACAGCAGAACACTAGTTACAGCAGATTTGTCTCAGCCATTCAGTTGAAGGCGAGACTCGAAATTGCAAGTACCAAAGGTACAACTAAGACAACAAAGAAAAACCCTGCAACAATACAGATTGTTACAGTACATTGATATAAATTACGAAGCATCTAATGAAGAAAAGAATTCAGAGGTCAACTCACCATGCGGTCCGGTGGCACGGGTTTTACATTTGGTACAGGGTTCGGAGACCCATAATTACGGCATCTGGCTGTTCCTGGTTACTTTATAAAAAGAGGCATTGGGGGACCATGCCCCCAATGGGATAAATCACCGTAGAAGATCTCAGAATCAGGAACACCTTGCGAGCCGTGTCGAACAGAAAAAAGAAGCCTCCGCCGAATTCCTCCTAAGAGATGTTACCCGCGAACAACGCCACAGACAATCTATCGAATCATCTATATACAGCTCCAAAGTCTTATCACCTAAACCCGCTAGAATACATGGCGATTCCAGGTTTACGTAGATTACCTTACAGGAAGTACTTGGCAACCTAAATGGCGGCGTTCGACATGGAAATATTAAAGAAAAGCTATAATTTACATGAGACTCGACTACAAAAGTAAAATCGAGTTAATTGGTACACAGCACTAGTTTTCTGTGATACCAAACAAGAAAAATTAGCCAGGGTTGGTGTTTTCAAAAATATGTCAAACTAAAGGGTACCCATTCACGATATTGATTTTATAGAAAAATCGTTCACCAACAGGTACTACATATGTGAATGGTTTAAAGAATAGATTACACCAACACTTAAGTTTCAACTAATTTACTAAATATTTTTAAACTATAATGTCAAAGTGACATGTTGTACAAGAATGGTGAAATTACCAAGGAGAGAAGATAAATTTTGTTTTTGTTTTGGTATTTAAGAGATCTACCAAAAAAATGTGTTACAGTCCTTCCGGATGCTCATCCCCAGCAGGCTGAGCTTGTCCTGCAGCGTCAGCGTTGTACCCTGAAGATGGGGAAGTGGAAGGAATGGGGATTTTTTGGAACTGAACGCGCATACCTGGGTTTTCTTGGCGTTGAACTCAACCAAGTTTCGGGAGCCCCACGACGATATATGTTCCAAAACATGGTTGAGCTCAGCGACAAGTTTTTCCCGGTTTCTCTCAGGGTCCTCCCGGCTGCTTGACGGTTGCTTATAATAGCAACCGTGCACTGTGCTATCATCTGCATAGCAATGAATGTTGCCAAAAGGTAACAAGTCATTGATATGCAGAAGGAACAGCGTGGGCGACAGCACGGAGCCCTGTGGCACCCCAGCATTAACTGTCACGAGCCGCGAAGCGCCTCCGTCAACAAGGACACGCAATCTTCGCTCGCTCAGAAAGCCGGAGATCCACTCACAAAGGCGGCCGGGAAGACCATATGCCGGAAGCTTGGAGAGGAGACCACGGTGCCAGACCCGATCAAAGGCCTTAGCAATATCCAGACTTATCGCTAAGGTTTCGCCCTGTTTGTCGATAGCTTCACCCCAGAGATGCATTAGATACGCTAGAACGTCACCCGTTGATCGGTTCGGCCGAAACCCGTATTGTCGATCATTAAGAATGGAGTGACGTTCCAGGTGCCGGATTATCTGGATATTTAGAATCCGCTCCATCACTTTGCAGAGCACTGAAGTGACAGCTATTGGGCGATAGTTTGTCGGATCAGACCGATCTCCTTTCTTGGGGATAGGTTGCACGTTGGCCTCCCTCCAAGCTAGGGGCACGTTACCAGATTGGTATGAGAGGCGGTATAAGCGCGTCAGTACGGGAGACAACTCCGCCGCACACCTTTTAAGGACGATAGGAGGTATCCCATCTGGACCATAGGCCTTCCGCACGTCAAGAGTCTGCAGTTCCTTGCGGACATCACATTGCCTGATAACTATATCAGGCATTGTGACTCCGCAGTGGGGAATTGACGGCGGTTGCGCATCTTGGTCGTGAATGCGCGAGTTAGCCCCAAAAAGGTCGGCCAATAAATTGGCTTTCTCTTCGGGGCCATAGGCCAAAAATCCATTGGGACACCTCAAAGGCGGCAGCGACGAACGACAAAAATTGGACTGCACGGCTTTGGCCAGGCTCCAGTAGGCACGGCTACCGGTGGGATGGGCTACCAGCTTCTGGCCAATCCGTGAAACGCGCTGGGCATCCGCTCTTATGTAAGCCCTCCTGCAAGACTTGGTTGCTTTGTTATAGGCAGCTTTAAGGGACGCAAGGTTGGGATCCTTTGTTACACGACCCTTGATCCAACCACGATATGCAGCCTGTTTCTCACTAACAGCGTCCCTGCATTCGCGATTGAACCAAGGGCGTCCTCTGCGATTGGCGATGACACTGGAAGACGGTATGTAGTAATTCATAGCCGTTCCAATCTCATCGACAACAGCATCGGCAGCTGCTGAGGCATCCTTTCCCGCAAAGCAGTGCTGCAACCAAGGGATGGACGCAAAGTAGTCGCGCATACCATCCCAATCCGCCGACGAGTAGTGCCAAATGCGACGAGTGACCTCCTTCAGCTTAGTTGGAGGCATTTGGGAAACCTTACACCCAACCAAATTGTTATAGTGATCAGAACTTCCCAGGGGGGCGCTGACTGATTCTGTATAGTAGGTAGGGTGACTCGCGAGCAGAAGGTCAAGCAAAGAGGGTGCATGATCCGATATGTCTGGAACCCGGGTGGGCTGGGTTACCAGTTGGGTCAAGTCATGCGTGAGAGCGAAAGCGTGGGCAGTTCTTCCTGCATGGTCAGTCTTGAGGGAACTTAACCATGATTCATGGTGAGCATTAAAGTCCCCCAACACGACCATCTCCGCAGATGGGAACTGCGCCTGCGCGTCAAGAGTCGCCTGGCTCAGTTGGTCAAAGAGCCTATTTGTGTCCGCATCCCCGCTGTGGGATCTATATAAGCACGCGAAGACTCTAGCTGAATAACTAGATTCTACGAGCACCCACATAGTGGAAAAGGAGGGGTCCTCCAGGCAGCGCAGACGGCGACAGCACACATCCGAACGAATATATACACATACCCCGGCTTTGGCCTGAAAGTTTTCCTCAAGCGAGTAGCCGGGGTAGTTCAAGTAACTCATATCATTCGGACGGCGAATCTGCGTCTCCGTCAGGAAAAGCAGGGCAGGCCGGGCTGTCTCGAGGTGATGGTGGACAGCTTTGAGGTTGGAGTGGAGTCCGCGGATGTTAGCGAACTCAATAATAAACGCGGTGGGGGGATTAGGCACCGCTGAACGATCTGCATTCTTATGTTGCGCTGTCATGGTGGGTAAGAAGGACGGTAGTGTGAAGAGATGAAGCCTTCGGCACTGCACCGAAGAAGAAAAACGAGGGGAACTGCAATGCATGCCGTTGATCTTTTGAAGGATAGCCGGCTGACCCGCCGAACGGAAGGGCCCCCGTACCCCCCCGGGATATGCCGCCGGGACCCCAAATTCCGGTCACTAACCGGCACGACGGCCTACCCCAAGATTATGCGCGGCATGGTGGGGCAGCCTCTAGGGGTAGTTAGTCCCTATTGGGCCCCTGTACTGTACCGCGGGCGGCCAGCGGACAACCGTTTCTACGGGTCTCCCTGGCCGGCAGGTCAACTAGATATCCCTCAACAAGTGACATGGCGAATATCCGCCTCAGTCCTCCCAGATACCGCGCCGAAAACTCCACGTGCACTGGATGTACACCGACTGATCCCTGAACGCGATTCGCAAAAGCGTTTCACTGTGGAGGGTTTTCCGCCGTGTGTACTGTGGTCGCTATCCAGTCGGCACAAAGCCTACCACAACGCTAAGCATATGGACACTTGTGACGCCCTCGGTCGCCTCTTACGACCCCCACGGGCATGTATGGGGAGGCGACAATGTATTCTTAAGCCGTCGCCCCACGGCACAAATAATATAATAGTTTCCCTATATCATTCTCAATGCTACACACAACTCACGTTGTTTGTTTTTACAAAAATGTAATTATCTCGAAAGTGACATTTTGTGGGTTGGTTCTAGTTTGCGTAACATGTCCATTTCTGGTTATATACTCGATGATACGATTGTATAGATTTTAAAACGTTCCCGGTTATTCACAAATTGCAAGTTTCTTACCACGGTATGATTTCTTTTTGCTTTCCCGATATTTGATGAAACTCTTCTCACAGATGGCGCTACGCCAAAAAAAATTAAAAATGGAAAACTAAGATCTGTAACAAGCACATAGAAATATTCGTAATGTCTGCTGGTTTTTATTTGTGTTACTAAGTGACGGGACCCGTCACCCTGAGACATAAGTTGAAAAGTCTCATGTGCCTGTAATTTCACCAGCACCCTTACCCTTCACAACCGGAACGCAGTAATATTCGTATTACTGCTTGGCGGCACAAATAGGTGGTTAGTTCCGTAGCTCAGTTGGGAAAGTGTTTGCCAAGGTTTGCTTGACGGCGCTGGTTCTAATCTAGAATTTTTCTTAGTGTTCGATCTTTGTATTAATAATAATTATGTCAATGCAATTTTAGAGCTCATTCTGCAACTACATATCGATGCCTTAGTTTCTCAAACACTTACCTTACAAGGAGTGGAACTTATTCAGGATATGGCAAAACTTTCTATTTATTTTAAATTTTTATTTTTTTGGTTGAGCAACAGGACGCCAATATTATAATTAAATGCCAATCGAAATGCTCGAACGCGTCATCGAAAATTGGAACTGCAGAATGGACCACGTCAACCGCGGTTACGGCCAACATTTCAAAGAAATAATCTTTAAAAAGTAAATGTAAAGAATGGTTTTTTTGTATGATAATAAAGATAACCCGATTTTATTACATTTTTTTTAGTTTTGAAAAAAGTACCTCTAGTACACTTCAGTCACTGTGTATTTTAAGATACAAGTTTGAGAAAGTACAGCGATGATATCCCATAAATACACAACTATTTGTAACACAGATAACCACATGTCCCGCCGTCATCCTTCGGCGGAATCAAAAATAAAATGCGAGTTATGCGAGAAGCGAGTTAACCGGAACAGACTGAGGAGACATGTTGCCATTGCCCATGGTACGAGCGCATTGCGATGCGGGGTAAGTTCAATAAATTCAAAGCCTGATTGGCTTTAAAAAAGCTCTGAGTGCTCAATAGAGCGAAGCCTCACCTGCCCCCCGATTCAGAACTATATTCAGAACATTCCGAGACGAAGACTTTAATGGTCTAAAATATAGGTATGCATTACGGCGCGTGTACACGCTAAGAAAAGTCGCCGGGTCTATGCAAGAATTCGTGTCGTTTCTACACACGAACTGTGTACACAGCCTCGGCGCCACACAAAAAAAAGTTCTTGTCTATTCTTGTCTTGTTGTTCTTGTCAGGGCGCATTGTCAGTAAACGACCAACCTCTTTATTTCTTTTGACAGTCGGTAGTAAAACGACAGCTACCTCGTCAATGCACTGACATGTTTACCCTACACACGTCTGCCCGAAAGAATTCTTGTCGTGTACAAGGCGATTCTCATTTTTCTTTTGCAGACACATTGACTTACAATTATATGGACGTCGGGTCCGCGCTAAAAAGTGTCCGAACTTATAGGGCGTTAAAATCGTATACAGAGCGTCATTCACGCTTTAGTCTTCGTTTGTTTGACTGACAGCGAAGCAAGCAAAATTAGACAGTACTGCGATGACATTACAATTTAAAAGCTTTTTCATATTCCTTTACATGTCACTACGTTTAAATAGGTTGACTTGGGACATTTTTTTCGTGGTTTTTGTATTAGACCCGTCGTCCATTTATTTGTAAGTCTTGCATTAATCCAGACTTTATTTAGAATAACTTTAAAGTAACCTCCATTCGATAACTGTCTTCTGAGTAACGTTTGTAGCCTTTGCTGGTCGAGAAGCTTCAGTAATCGTATGTGACTGTGGGTGTGACGTCATTACGGTTCGGTTTCGAATACGACAGTTTGACGTTCGATTCGGGCATTGTAAATAAAAATAAAAAGATATCGTACAATCGTAAGGTTCTAAATCGACCCCCAGGTCACCCACTTTTGTTATACAAAACACAAGTACGGCCCCATGTGGAGTATTTCTTGCATCTCTGGGAAGAAACTTCCCAATTACAAGCTTGACCCACTTGACTCCATCCATTGCTGGTGATCCTAAAGTCGCAGACGGTATCACACGACATTGTCCTGTCCACGTTTTTATGTATAACGTATTCGATTATAAACGGATAGACAGCGAGGTTTAAACACGATATATCAGCAATCGCCCTGAGGACACGTCTGTGATGGATCCACGCTTTGTTGCAATTTTATATTGGCATAGAAGACCCAACGGCTTTGCCGTCGGAAGTACAGAATGTATTGGGTTCATCCAATGAATCAAGAAGCAGTGTGTTAAAACACATTTGAAAAATTATACGAAAATCTGAGAAATGTTGAAAAAAACGGGCTTTTGTTCCACTAAAGATATCAATAAATCGTTATCCACTGAAGATTCGCCGGTAATTTTTAACCGACTTCAAAAAAGGAGGAGGTTCTCAATTCGACTGTATGTTCTTTTTTTTTGTATGTATGTTACGCGATAACTCCGGTATTTGTGAACCGATTTTCATGATTCTTTTTTTGTTGGAAAGGGTGTACTTCTATAGTGGTCCCATTTCATTTTGAAGAAAATCATCCACCTTTAAGGGTGGCTGTTCACGCATGAAGATTCATTTTTATAAACAGCGCCTAACTTTAATTTAGGAGCAATTACTTTAATGGTTGATTTTGCTATTACTCCAATTCAAGGTGTTTTTCTCTCGATATACTTTGAGTAGTGACAACCGATTTTTATTATCTCCAGTGTCAAGTCCTATACAGTGGCGAACTAGGGGATAATTCAATAAAACTTAGCAAATAGACGTAATTCCAAGTACTTTTGAGGTCGTTTTTTTAGTACTCTGTACTGAGATTATAAATTAAGTGATCTTAACCAATGAAAACTATAATTTCTAGAAGTTTACATGAAAGCATTTGTTCGCCATTATACATCATATGATCATACTACCATAGTGCTAAATAAAATTAGCATTTAATTATATTATATCATAACACGTAGGTTATCCAATTTATTGATACCATCAAGGTATGAAAATGTACTTCATATTCCCTGTCTCTTAAGTCACCGCCGCCGTTAACATTCTTACAACTGCCTCACCTCACTTGAAGTAGGACATTGTACCCCCTCATTTTTGTAAATGAGGGGGTACAATCTCGATTTAATTTCATGATGTCCTACCCAACACTACTTGGTATTATAAAAAAAGGTTCTCTTACACCACATATCGCACTGTTAATACAATAGTGTATTAACTAAAAAAAAAGGACTTGCTCAGAATCGACGTAAAACGAATTACTCACTTCCTGCAAAAAAATCATAAAAATTTATATGTTATAGTTTATTATAGACATTTAACAATTTCTCAAATATATTTAAAAATAAAATGGAAAAAATAATTTCATGTTTTTGAATAAGGATTGTTTTGGCCAGAAATAGCTCACATAAAGTGAGTCTCATTTTGAGTTAAGAGATATCTTTTGATTGTTTCTTACAATATTCTAACGATGGTTTTTTTGACGTGTAAAGAATCAAATTTTACATTCAGTAATGACATAATATTAAATTTCACATATTTTGAGTTACAACACTATTGTAATAGCAATGCGATATGTTTTATTACTTCCAGTATTGCAAATCGGAGTACGACAGCAAAGAAGTCCTTATAGAACATGTTGTTACGTGCACGGCGAAGAAGAAAACTCGAAAAATTTGTGAATCGGTAAGTTACTGCCACACAAAGGTCCCGGGTTCAATTCCCGGACCGGGATAAATATTTGTATGGCCTGCATTTATTTCCTCGTTTGGGTGGAATATGTGGTTGCCTATAAGTGTGTCCATGGCACACGCGATTCAGGGTTTCTCTAGTGCGGGTTTATGAGTGGGTGCGTTAAAAATAAACAAAAAAAAAAGAAGGAGGTTCTCAAATCGTAGCGACAGAAATAGGTGAGGTGGCAATGCTTCCCTGTACTAACTCTTTCACAAGGATCTCTATTCTTACTGAAATGGACGTCGGGTCTAATACAAAAACCATGAAAAAAATGTTTGAATTAAATTTTTATTGAATTGATATTCAATTATTTTTTGTGAAATTACTCCACTAGTTTGTTATAATTATTAATACAAAGATCGAACACTCAGAAAAAACACTCCGAAAAATTCCTTCGATTCGGTCGGATTCGAACCGACGTCTTCTTGCATACCGTGCCAGACGCTATACCAACTAAGCCACGGAACGAACCAACGGACCTCACGAATTTTTCTATGTGCTTGCGTCGTGTCTTTGTACTTGGTCTTTCAACGACTTTTTAGTCGTAGCGCCATCTATGAGAAATGTTTAACAGATTTATCACCCAGTTAGTACCTTTACAGCTACCAGTCCTGGCGAGAGATGTCGCTATTCACTGTATTAATTAAATTTTTATTGAATTGATATTCAATTATTTTTAACGTTTGAAATTAATCTTTATAATTAAAGTGACATGTAACGAAATATAAAAAGAACTAAAACATTTATCATAAATGAAATACTATACAACTCTACAAAACAACACTTTTAAATGATAACAATTTATAATGAAGTTGAAAATCTATTCAATCACCTACCCATATACGCGCGCACATACCCACACGCACACACGCACACAGACACACAGACAGACACAGCAGACACGGGCAAACACAGGTTGACACGAGCAGACACAGACAGACACGGACAGACACAGACAGACGGACGGACAGACAAAACAGAATTGAGATTTTACACTGCATATTTGTTTAGTGAAAATATTATACAAAATCCTGTTTTTTCACTACACTTTTTTCATTAATACAAGTTTGTTTACTTGAGTAATTTTTACAAATTTTTATTACATACCACTGCATGATTGACAAGCACGCTGTCTGTCGTTCTCTAAGAGATTTTAACACCCTATAGGTTCGGATAGACTGAACCTTTTTCTTTTGCTTTCGTTAACGACCAGGCTACATGTCTGATCTCAATGTGGTTTTTTTTATAGAGCCGCGAGCTTCAAGAGTGTGACATTTGTCACAAACGAATGCAAAAAGCTAGTTTGCGTATGCATAAAGCTGTGACACACGCCGGATTGAGGCCTGTATGTGAGGTAAATAAATAATAAAATAAATACTAACACCATGTAACGCGGTTTTTGTTTCTGCGTTATCAGTATAATTTTCTTATTGGTTTTAACATTCGTAACACTTTACTTCCCTGGAAAAACGATGGCCACATGATAAACAAAGATCTTGTTAAAAAAAAATAGGTTCTACGCGGCATGTACACGCGCCAGAACATCAAGCTACACATTGACGTATCTTGTTCCGTTGCACTGGAGGCGATTTTCGAACAAAAATGTGTAGGCTGATGTGCCGTTGCCCGTACATATATTGCACAACGGCAAAACTTGTCGCGTCTATATGTTATCGTGTTTATTCCCTGATATATTTTTATTTATTTATTGACCACAAGACATGATGGCACAAAAGGCGGACATAATGCTAAAAGTATTCTCTGCCAGTTAACCTTTAAGAAAAACGAAATTCACGAACGCGACAAATTATTATGTTAATAAATTATGTATTATTATTCAAATTATATTATTAATTAAACAAAATATTACGTTAATTATAACTTATATGTAATAAATATATAATAATATAACAAACGAACCTAATACACAACAATTTTGAATAACGAAATAAGAAACCTTATGGCACAATGTTTTGTGGATTGTAAATTTAAAAGTGTAATTAATAAATACATTAAATAAATAAATTAGTTATTTAATTTAAAACGTGCGTTGCACTGTGTTATGAATAAATAAATAAAATAAAATGTAAAAATGAATGAACGAATGGATGGATGGATAAATGAATGAATAAATTGTATGTAACCGCTCTTAAAAACACTGGGATTATATTTATAATACATCTTATGTATGAATGTTATATCTGCAAGCGCGCGAATGCATCGATGCAATCGGCTTCAAAAAAAAATTGTGCCTTACAAATGAATTGTAGGAATTTAACCAACATGACGATTTGAAGTGTAATTGACATGATAATCTGTAATGTTTATAAATTATACAGATTAGTACGTACCTCTTATGGTATAGGAGACTGCACGCTATTGTGCGAGCTAATTACCTACGACGCAGGACAAAGCCTGTTTAGTGCTTACGACCCCTCCCGCGCGCTTACCCTCTCTTCTTGCGTAGTACACGGAACACAAATTTCACAATCGGTTTCATTTCAAAGTAAATTAGTTCTATTTTGTTTGTTGTAAATGTTGGACACTACATTACATACACTTATCACTGTATATATGTATCAAAACACACACGTCCGGTACTCACTCGGTTTTAGCACGCCACAGCCGCACACATGACATTCAATTTAATTGTGTTGAATGTTTAATGTTTGCTTTGTTGTTGTGTATGGTTTTATTTTTATTCCTTTTTTTTTCCTGTTATTTTTATTTTAATTTTTTTGTTTTAATTTAGCTTCATCTTTTTTTTTAATTTCATTTTATTACTGTGTATATTTTTGCTGTGGCGTAGTAATAAACGATTTCTATTCTATTCTATTCTGTGTAAAAAATATATAGTGTAAAATACTGACCGTTACTTCTCTCTACATTCTCGAGTCATGTAAATTTGTTAGGAAGCACCCACAGTTTTATTCACGTCTAACGAACGATAAACAACATAACAGAAACTTAAACAAGCCTTAAATCTTTCTCCAAAATGAAATTGCTTACGTCTGGCCCGCACACTATGTTAATTAGAATTTATAACCACATACCAAATTATATCAAAAACCTGGAAAGACTTACACAATTTACTAAAGAACTAAAGGCATTTCTTGTTAATAAATGATATTATGACTTACATGAATTTTTTGACGATACGTATGATGACAAATAACAATAATAATACAAATAAAAATACTTCGACATCTCTTATTAATAATTATTGAAATTAATGTATTTTATAAAGTATATTTTCCATTACTAATTAAGAATAATGCAATGTAATAATGTGATATAATAATTTAATGTTTTGATATTATATTGTAATGTAATAATTTCATATGATCGAATAGTGTGATTTAGAAATTAGCCCTCAGATGTTGCTGTGCCCTTGCAGGGCGTCACATGTATACCTACCATCAATTAATGTTCCATCTTAAATTTGTAATGTGATATGCAATAAACAATTGAAATTGAAAATTTGAAATTCTAATTAATTTACTTAAGATTTTATTTGAGTTACAGTTTTATTATTAATATTTGTTCTTATGTTTTCAGCACTGTGGCCGCAATTTCGGAAACAATTACCGTCTAAATGAGCACTGTAGAGCAAAGCACGGATATGAAAAACTGAAATGTTCGTATTGCGATTTTGAAAGCGCCGGCGTTATGGCTTTGAGGGTAAGTTTTTTCAAATGGGTGCGGTTCGTAAGATATAACAATAAATGGCATATTTTTAGTCTATAGAATAGAACAGAATAGAATAGAATAGAATCGTTTATTTCATGTTATCAATGTCACAATATTGCAATTGGAAATACAATGTCAAGGGATAACTATGATCGTCAGTAATAAAATTATAATAATAATAATGAATATAAAATAAAGTAGTATAACTACTGCCTGTCGAATAAAATAAAATTAAAATTGTTTCAAAAGAAACTCATCGACACTGTACAATTCAATATCCAATAAAAGGTTTTTTAGTCGGGTACAAAACGTTTCATTGTTTCTAACACTTTTATAACGTATATAACGCTCAACGGATATTATTAATTTTATCTATATAGACATCATAATCTCAGTACAGAGTACTAAAAAAAACCGACCTCAAAATTACGTGGAATTACGTCTATTTGCTACGTTTTATTGGAATATCCCCTAGTTCGTCACTATACAGGACTTGACACTGGAGATAATAAAAATCGGTTCTCACTACTCAAAATATATTGAGAGAAAAGCGCCTTGAATTGGAGCAATAGCAAAATCAACCATTAAAATAATTGCTCCTAAATTAAAGTTAGGCGCTATTTATAAAAATGAATCTTCATGCGTGAACAGCCACCTTTAAAGGTGGGTGATTTTCTTCAAAACGAAATGGGTTCACTATGGAAGTACCCCCTTTCCAACAAAAAAAGAATCATGGAAATCGGTTCACAAATACCGGAGTTATCGCGTAACATACATACAAAAAAAACACAGTCGAATTGAGAACCTCCTCCTTTTTTGAAGTCGGTTAAAAAACACTATGATGTGTTCAAAAATTGCAGACAAATGTCTTATATGGGAAAATGATTTTAATCAAATTCGATTTTATTATTACATTCAAATTTCGAACACCCCTGAGAATCGTTTTCGCGTAGCGCCATCTGTAAGAAATTTGTTTCTTCACTCTCTCTGGGTACCTTTACAGCTATTATAATACAATTATTTTAATGCGGTCTCTTGCAGAACCATGAGCGACGGCACCGCAACGAGAAACCATTTGTATGCGAAACGTGCGGTGCTAAATTCCACGCTGCGTACTTGCTTGCACAACACAAGAAATCGCATCGGACTGAGAAGCTTATCAAAGTATGTACAACAATACGGTTCAATTTAGTGTCACAACACTTAGGGCGCGTTCCCATTATGTCGTAACGTTTATTTATTATTGGACGACTGTCGCGTCTAGTCTCTTCCCTTATCACGATCTGTCGTGAATGTGTCGTAGACCTTTATTTTATCGTTGAATGACTGTCGTGACTAGCTGTCCCCACTTACGATCGTGACGAGAATTTATCGGTTCACGACAGCTGCCTAGTCGATTATCAGTTGTCACATTTTTATCTAGACCTTTTATTTATCGTCAGAGGACTGTCTTTGTAGCTGTTCCCCTTGTCACGACAGTCTGCGTCTCTGGCGGACCCGGACTTGAGTATGGACTCGCTGGGGTTTGTGGTTAGCTGCAGAGACGGACACTGTTTGTCTGCCCCGGTTGCATGTGGCCGGGGCGGTGCTAGCGGTGCACCGCGGGGCGACTCACTTATTGCCGAGAACCGGATGAAGTCCGTGCAAACGGGGACTTAGATGGTCCATGTGCGGGTTGGCTGGCACAGCTCATAGTGCCCTTCCCGCAACAAAACAAAACTTATGTAGAAAGATATAAGACTGTCACGACAGTCTGTCGTCGTATCGGCAAAAAAGTCGTGAACGACAGTTAATCGTGTTGTTCTATATATGAACAACTTCATTTAAATGTACAAGTCACGACACTTTAAACTGCTCGACAATCTATCGTTACGACATAGTGGGAACGCGCTTTTTACGTGGAATCGTTTGGAGCCGGTTTGAAAAGCTTTATGTCAGTGCAATAAGAGCGAAAAGGACGTTGCGTGTTTCGCTCCGTTTGGATTACGCTCTTAGAGATCCCCCACACTAGCGTCTTTCGAGCGTCAGCGTCTTACCAGCGCACGCGACGCAACTCTGTTTTTGTCTGACTGTTTAACCAAAGCAAAAACCACTAAACCTAAATTAAAAATATTGCTTAAAAACATACCCCTAGCCTTGAACACCGTCGTAAAGTTGCCTGCTTATCGGTATTATACAGAACATATCACGGAGAGTGTGCGATGGAATGACACAATTTAATTCCCCCTGCCCCTTTCCATCACCGGGGGACTAGGCGTAGGTGTTTCCACCCCTATATTGTGGATATTCCAAAGATTCACACGAAGCGTTACGCTTCCACGTTTATATGGCGAACTGCTATTTAGTGGAATTCCCTGCCTGCAGACGTTATAACTTGGGCCTATTCAAGGCGAAAGTGAATGGGTATTAATTAAATTTTTATTGAATTGATATTCAATTATTTTTGTGAAATTACTCCACTAGTTTGTTATAATTGTTGTTGAAAGACCAAGTACAAAGACACGACGCAAGCACATAGAAAAATTCGTGAGGTCCGTTGGTTCGTTCCGTGGCTTAGTTGGTATAGCGTCTGGCACGGTATGCAAGAAGACGTCGGTTCGAATCCGACTGGATCGAAGGAATTTTTTCTGAGTGTTTTTTCTGAGTGTTCGATCTTTGTATTAATAATTATAACAAACTAGTGGAGTAATTTCACAAAAATAATTGAATATCAATTCAATAAAAATTTAATTAATACAGTGAATAGCGACATCTCTCGCCAGGGCTGGTAGCTGTAAAGGTACTAACTGGGTGATAAATCTGTAATAGATTTCTCATAGATGGCGCTACGACTAAAAAAGTCGTTGAAAGACCAAGTACAAAGACACGACGCAAGCACATAGAAAAATTCGTGAGGTCCGTTGGTTCGTTCCGTGGCTTAGTTGGTATAGCGTCTGGCACGGTATGCAAGAAGACGTCGGTTCGAATCCGACCGGATCGAAGGAATTTTTTCTGAGTGTTTTTTCTGAGTGTTCGATCTTTGTTTTAATAATTATAACAAATGAATGGGTATTATTTAGGTGTACATGCTCCATCGTCGGACCTCATCGTCACTTTCCATCAGGTGAGATGGATGTCAAAAGAGTCTTCCTTACTGTTCTATATTTGTATTAGTAATTTACATTTGTTTCAGTGCAATCTCTGTCCTGCTACGTTTAAAGCGAACAACAGCCTGCACACGCATAAGCTCTCCTGCCATAGCAATTACCTGTACAAATGCCACTTGTGCTCGCGTGTGTACAGTTCACGTCATTACGCGGTTAAACATTTGCGGCATGTACACGATTACAAAGGACCTGTTCCGCAGTTACAAAAAGTCCCAAATGAGGTCATCATACCTTAGACACTGACTTCAAATAAGAAGTTTTATTAAATAACTTGTTAATTTACTTTTTCATCACATTTGCTCGTAAATGGTATGATGTCATGGTGGTTAAGTTGACTGTAATGCCCCAAATAAAACCCACGGGTCTTTTTTCTTTCCATTAGAGCCATGGAGTTTTTTTAATTTGTAGCACGACATACTTCCTTACACCGGTCAGGTTCAAACTCAAGCAAGCAGGTTGCGTAAGTTCAATTTTAAAACATTCGCTAAAAATGTTGCCTAAATAAAAAATGAAATTGCAGTTCAGCCACATAGTGCTTAAGTACTTATCGTCAAGAATTTCTTATAATTGATTATTGATTTTCTGTATAAAAATTTAGCAAACTTCTTTTACAATCCGTCATGGCTGTATGCGTGTTTGCCTTTGTCAACACTTTAGTTCGAGTTTTAAAAATGTTTTTAAATTCTTTCATAGATAATAATCTATGGAAGAATTTAAAAAAAAAGAACAAATATTCCGCCATTTGCCAAATCAATAATTGTTGTGTCGTGAACCATATTTCTGTGGCTCTAGGAGACGCGAGTCTGAATTTGTGTATCTAGTTTTCACTAGATACACAGATTTATATCTTCGCAAGTGTGATGAAAAACATTGTAAATGTATCATGGACGGTAAAGAAATACAAAACTCGAGTTATTGAAGCCCTCAGTGTTTGGCTTCGGGCTTCTAAGAGACCCTAGTTAGGATACCAATAATAATTTATTTGTAAATACAATAATTTAAAAACATATTATATATTAGGTATATGGACCAATAACTCAAGACGACTGCCAATCGGTATACAAAGACAGCGTATCGTCGCCTTACTTTCTTAAACTCGTATCTTATAGTACAAAGTTACTAAAATACAAAACATGGATTGTATATACAAATTTTATATATATATATATATATATATGTATATATATATATATATATGAATATATACATATTCACACACGGGATTTTACCTATTCTTAAACTAATGCATCTATATTAACAGCATTGATATAGTTATTTTTGATATAAGTGCGGAAAGTTAGTCATTATTCACGAGCCTCGAGGCTTCTTGGCCCGAGCCAGAGGCGAGGGTCAAGACGCGAGACAAGTGAAAATGACAAATCCGCACGTGTATCAAACGACGTTTTTTAATACATTTGCGAAAAAACTATTATTGAAAGTAAAATAAAACAGTCTTTAAACAAAACTCATTTTATGCTAGTAAATTAAAATAATGAAATACAACCACTGCAACCATTAGTTAAAAGTCTATGGAAATCTAGTTCTAACGTGCTGTTTTTGTTTATTTTCTGTAATATCGGTCTGTAACCACTTTTCTTATTATGAAGTCCTGGTACTTTTGTTTAAACTTCTTTAGGAACCCGTGCACGGTAGTGAGATACAATTTATCTGTAATACATAGAACAAATAAATATATACATAACAATCTCGCCTGTCACCCATTCAGGGGTAGGCAGAGACTGTGGACCTCCACTCGATACGTTCAATATATAGTATTTGTAAATAAATATAAGTTTTAATGACGAATGACTTACGTCACAAAGCGCATAAATATGAAATAAATATAAAATCTCTTTAGTTCTGTGTTTAAGACGTAAAACAACAGTAAATTTAAAAAAAACTGGAAAAGTAAAAAGCACTAGTGCGAGAAATCCAACTTTCCGCACGATTTGTAGTGCGAAAAATACCACGTTTTGAGCAACTGTATTAAAAAGAAATTTTAAATAAATAGAAAGTGTTACCATCTCCTGAATCACTTTTTATAAGATACTAGTTTGAGAAATACATACAGAGTACTTCTTAGAGGATGGAAAAAAGAATAAAAGAAGTATATATACTTCGTCCAACATTTATTTAACTTTTGACATATGCATGCCTACGAAGTTCCGTAATTATTGACAATACAACAATCATTGACTTACAATTATATGGACGTCGGGTCCGCGCTAAAAA